CGAAATACCAGCTGCATTTAGAGGAAATTAAACTGATTTCATTATTTCTGAATTTATTTCGACAGATGATCTTCTAATTACCTATGTTACGTGAAGTACTGGTAGTGTTCTTTACCAGCACTTACTAAACGTTATTTACCTTGTTACCAATAAACCAATACACTACCGAACCTGTAATCACTGACGGCGAAACACAAATTAAAAAGACCATCTGGTGCAAACCGGTCACAAAGCCAGCGTAGACGAATCCTTCTGCATAATATACCGGGTGCCTAACAAACTACCAAAATCATCGAAGCACCGCTTGCTCCAAACAGCAGAGGTTATTGCAATTCGCCTCAAAGAACCAGTGCTCTGTGTCCAAAAGAAACAAGTCCAGCCCCTACTACTGCCCTCAGTAGAGACTATAAACTCATGAATTTGTACTATTACCTTCCCTAATTCTTCTGACATTCAGTTTATTTTATGTTGATGCTGTTCAGCTGTAATTTATCAATATTATTGATTTGATGTTATTTAAACATTATTGTCGTTCATAAGACTAATTCATCCATTCATTATAATGTATATATAATTGTAGAACCTGATGGTGAATTTATCGAAAAGAGTTCTCTTTGTTCCGTGTCTATTCTTTTGAAAATTTCAATGGGCATTCTTAATCAATTAAAAAGACTTAGTTGGCGATGCGGTCTGGTGAGTAGAACATTTGCGCAAAATAAAGGGTGAAGATTTGTCAGGGAAAAATATTTAGAACTCATCTAACAAATATGGCTGTATTACAAACTAGAAGAATGTACGTGTTGAAAACATAATGAAAAAGGGCAAAGTGGCGCTGGAGCCTGTCCAAATGTGTATACGTTAAAACGAAATCTTAAAACATTGGAAGTTGCACTACAACTACTACAGCGTTGTTGAAGCTTTATATATATTGCTGGTAGCAAATACTACTAAATGCTATTTCTTTAAAGGCGCTGAATAACAAGATATACTTCTAGGGATTGTGTGAAAGAAATACATGCACAAAGATGACAGATAACGTGTCTGTATCACAACCCAAGAGAGCATCATTCACACTAGCAATTTGCGTGTCTGCTGTCAACTGTTTACGTGACAGTTTTAATTAGTATTAAACACAACTTCTGCAGGGAAAGGAAACATGTTAACAAATCATAATTCGAATAAAATAACAACAAAATCAACATGCTACCTTAATTATTTTGTCATCCTGAAGACCACACGCATGCAACTGATGTAACAGAATTAGAACATGCTTTGCATGAAATCCAAAAGTGGCAGCTCCATGGACGTGTCAGTCCACACTATCAATTAACAAGAGTTGGATTCGGTGTTCATGCTGCTGTTATAAAAGTACTGATGAGAACATTTATCATACTGAAGCTTTAGAGGTAGGAAAAAATGACACATTAAGACTCTCAGATCTCATAAATGAAGTAGGGAAAGACCAGGTCAAATTCTGTTTCATACAAAAAGAGGTAAATACATTGATTGCATAAAACTTGTTAACTGTTTAATTAAGCGAACGTGAAGTACACAGCATGAGAAGTAAGTAGGAGGACGGTCGAATTAAGGTAAACGGTTTTAATATTCGTAAATGCAATGTGTCGCACTTCTAACCTTCACTCAGTTATTTTTATATCCAGATACCAAATCGTTCAATTCACTCCACTGCTTATCACTAAGCCTGTCGTTTACTTTTATTATTAAATGCAAGTGCAATATTTTTAAATGTTGAGTCAGGGGACCAAACTTTTCTTTCATTCAGCTTTCCTCCATGCTCTTGAACTGAATGAATCAACTGATGTTATCATTTATTAGATGGTTCAGGGTTAGAATACTGGGCAGCCATGCACCTAGTCGTCGTAGTATGATTCCTGGTCAACTTACTCCTAAAACCCCGCCCGGTCGGTAGTAGGCCAGGAAAAGAGGTTAGCTTTGCTGTGAGGCTAGCGACCCTAACCCGTGAAAACGACACAAACGCTACTAAAAGTCTAAAGCTTAAAGCTTAAAACCCTATATTTCACTCCAAACTCAAAGGAGTGGATATATATGTGTATTTATACTACATAGAAAGACCTGGGAAAATCCCAATAATTAGGTTAGATTTAGTTAATTGTGAAAGGTTATAGAGTACCATATATGATTCCGATTACAATACTATAGGACATCCACGTTTCCATGTTCTACGATATGCTAACGCTGTACACAGCCAAATACTAATTAATTGTAATAAGAAGCACAAGTGAAAACTTGAAAAGATGTACTGTTAACGAAATCGAATTTCGAAAAGTGTGAGGCGAACCCAAAAGTGTGTGACCGCGCAAAAATATACAGCAGACGAGAACCAATGTTCAATAATACAATAGCAAATATGCGATAAGTGTATGTAAAATCAGTTTCTGTAAACGTATTATTTTTAAATTTTTGATTATAGCTTGATTCTACACCGCATTTTCGGTACAAGTATTGAATTGTCAGCATGTGATATCGGTAGCCCAAATTACACAGGCCGACCATTGATATCAGGTGTGCATCGGCAGGGAATCGAGCCCCGGATCGGTTTTGTAAGCGTACAGTTGGAGTTAACATAGAGATGCTACAAGGTTTCGTGTAAAGGAAATTCCTTTTTCATTAAGGTGAAACACGAAGACAGCTACAGGCACAGAAACCGAGAATTTGTACAGTGACTAGTATGTACACTGGAAAGTCCTAATTTTTAGCTGTAGTGAGATAGTTCAGTATCATGGAAATAAACAGCGATAACGAAACAAAAGGTACCAAATGATAAAGTCTAGAATGCGAAACAAATGGTATCTTAAGAAAAGCAATACACAAGAAAGTACTGGACATTTAGAATAGCATACGTGTCACTTTTGTGCAAATCTGTGTACATAAGTGAAAACCTAATTATCACTTATGACAACTAAGTACCTTAACAAAATATGTGTTTAGGAAAATGATGTAGTTGCGAGGATAAAGATAAGTTATGTGAAAGAAGGTATACAAGCTTATCTACTTAGGAGTTGGTGAGTTGAGGCCTTTGTGCAGAGATATGGGGAAGACTGTTCGGGTCTATACTTGTTAAAGTAAAGATTAAAGCACCCTGGATTACCAGAGATGAGTAAGCAGCTTATTTAATTGATAGTGAACAGTTTAATTATTTTACATGTATTCAAGTGTTGGTTTGTAGGGATTTGATTGGTTACAGGATTTTCATCATGAGTTGACATTGGTTAGAGAACCATTGGAAAACCTGGGAGTACTGGACAGCTGTTTCGTCCTAGTTCACATGTACCTATATTATCATGTTAAAATGGTACTGTGTAACATTATTTTATATTAATGCTTGCATTCCCACTACTGTATTTCACCCAGTGTTGTTCGTTTTGGACTGCCTGTACTTACATCTGTTGTGTTGAAGCTTCTGAGGACAGTTTTGTTTGGGAAGAAAATATGTATTCAGTAGTAAGACATTTACCTCTTGATATAAAGTGACACTTAGAATACCTGAGAACTGAGAAGCAGAAGTATATTTGCATTGTAGGCTACATATGCTGATGGTAATTTCAAAAAATAAATTTCCTTTTATGCAATATTAATCAGATCTTTAAATGTAGGACATAAGTCGCTGGTAGTATATACATAGAATGGTTACAGACAAATAACGAATGGGCTCTTGGGGGAAGTTTATTTTACACTACAGGGGATTTTGACCTAATACAATGTGCATCGGTAGTACAACGGCTAAGACGCTCGCTGACCATGCAGATGGTTTGGGGATCGATCCCCTGCTGAAGCATGCCTGATATCAAATGATTGGCCTTCTAAATTTGGGCTACCAATATCACATGCTGAATATTCCATAAGTGTACGAGAATACTGTGTGGAATCAAGCTATAATAAAAAAATCAAACAGATAAACGAAAAAACAATAAGTGTGGATTTAAAGTTCATACTTAAAATGTTGACATGACTATAGAAAATAAACACTTACCCAAACAATTTGTCTTCTAAATATTATCACAATAAATTTCATGAAATTACTGAAAAAAATACATTCTTACCCTTTATCAATTCATTAAATGACTATGGGGCGACAAGAGTGATATAAAAAGAGTTGCATACAAAAATAAATTTTCTGTCATTCATCTAAAATCTAAGCAAAGAAAAGTGAAGTTTAAGTATCCTTTTTATGTGTAAGAATTAGGATGTTTTCATTTCCAAGGAGTCTCTGAAACGGTGATGAGTTTCTCTAGAGTAGCCTCTTAAAGTGAAGGTTTGAATCCTAAGCTCTCTTCTTTAATTACGCCTGCAGGTTTTGATTTTAAATTAAATTTCGTCAAAAAATGATATGAGGTAGAAAATCTTTGAAAAATAAGCTTTTATTAATTTAGAAACCTTTATAAATTTCTTTTTTAGTAACGTCTTAAAATATCGATGTGACATATTAGAAACCAAAGAGCTTATTTTAAGCACGTCATTATGCAGCATCGCATTTTATAGGTATAAAATTGAGTATTCCCTTTAACGTGCTGTTATTTCTTCAGCAGCTGAAATTCGTGAAGGCAATTATAATTAAACGGGAGATCGTCAAACCTATAGATGATGAAACGAAGATTCTGATTACTGAGAGAAATTTTGATTTGTAGAATTCCTTCGCAATTTGAACAGGTAACATGGAGTAATACTTCTGTGATGTCTTAGATCATAATATAATTGTTCATCACTTTGTTTTTATGAAGGTGAAAGTAATAGAAACTGGTCATTTTGTAGGGTTATGTAATGCCCCTATTTTATTGGTTTTCACGAATGAGGAATTCCCATGTTATCTGATGAAAGATGCCGATACTCTGCATAATTTTATTCTTTTGCTTAGAAAACTATACAGTAAAATGAAGAGCTTAACCAATCAAATAAATATAATGTGTGATTGGTTGAAGGTTTTCTTCGATTAAGACTATAAATATTAAAAGTGCTAGTGTTAATAAAGTTATCAATATGCAAAAGCACTATGTCTAGTATAACTAATACAAGTGAATGGTCTTTATCTTCAACACTACCACATATAATTCATGCACTGCCTTATTCAGATTCGGTCAGACAGAGCCAAAAGCGTCGGCAAAAACAATTAGATCATAAAAAGTATGCGGATGATAGTGATGAATCAGAATATGAAGACGAATGTGAAGAGGAGCATACAACTGACATTATACTGACATTCGTATTAGGAGTTGATCCTGGAAGATTAATAAACAAAGAACCTGTAGTAAATAGACCTAAATCATTTAACTCAAGTTCATCAAGTTCAAATAAAGTACATACTAACTTTATGTATTTCCACTTGGAATTTTCAATATTAAATCAAGAGGACTATATTTTTTCTACTGATGTGGTGATATTTTCAAAATCTGTTGCTAAAATATATCCAACTAATTGTACATCGAAAATGACAACACCCTGTGAATTCGATGAGACTTTATGGATCACATGGACTGAACAAATACCAATTGTAATTACAGACGAGACAATTATAAACTTTTGGAATTTAACACAAAATGGTGGTATTCGAGTTAAATGCTGGGATCAAAGAGATAAATGCTCTATTCAAACAAGATTTGACAGACCAAGATCTATAAGTGGTAAAAATAATATGAATAGTCAAGTAAACGACAATTCAACAAATAGTATAGGACTAAATGATGTTCAGTCTACAATAGATGTACTAAAGACCTACTGTAGAGATTCATCTAACATGAAAACGACAAGTTTCGATGTTAATCATATTCATACAGAGCATGAAGACACATTAGAAGTAAAAAAAGATACTATGAAACGTAAGTTTGGTATTTTATGATGCATTTGAGGTACATTAGTATAGTAAGAGTGTCAGTATAAAATCAAATACACTCTGTTGTACAACGCAACCGGTTAGGCGCTATTCCCATTAAAAGCAATTTAAAAGTAACTGTAACACTGTGACACTATTTCCCTTGAGTCTCAACTCAGACTACCGGAGGTAGATATCTTGAAAACTGTACGAGCTCAAATTTCGATGGAAATGTGAATTTCTTAGTCTTAAGGATACTTTAGTAGGTTAATTTTGATATTTTACTCTGTTCTAGGATTTTGTCACCATTCTAACACTCTACATTAAAACATTTTAACTACTAAGACAAAATCTGTGTTGGAATCGTAATTCACTAAGCTACCTTATTGTGTTATACATATAAATAAATAAACTACACACTACTGTCAAAGTTTTACACACTATTTTCCAGTGATAACAAGTTTTACAATAAAAATCACTGTGACTTTGAAGTAAACTAGTCGAAGAAACGATACAGAATTAGGTTGCATTTAGTAAAAGCGTGAGCATAACTGTGTGTCATTTGCATTATTAAAAATAAGAAAACTTTTTTTCGGAACCTGATAGGAGTTAACAGCTAGACATATATAGGTGGTAAGTTTTCATACACCAAAGTGTTAACGGGTTGACAGAAATCAGTAAATAAATTTGTAAAATGACTTTATATATTTGTGAGTGTACACTATTGGTCTAAAGGTGTATGATGTTCTAAGTCTCGAATTTTGCCTTATTCATGTATCTGTCGGTAGGTATTGACAATAAATTAAAAGTACAATGAAAACGAACTCGGATCATGATTAGGTATGAGAGGTTAAACCAACATACATCTGTTTTGTGGTGCATTTAAACAGACTTTCTACGACCACCGGTTAAATGATGCAGTATCATGTTGGAAATAACAACCAACCGAGAAAGCCTGCTTGATTTAACTATTCTGATTAACAGTGAAGATTTAACAATGAAACGTTTGGGCACTAAACCTCCTAACCAAAAAGAAACAGTTTATACAAATAATTTTGTTAGTACTGAGGCTTTAAGTACGAAACTGTTCGTTAATTATTCTGCAGTTAGATCACAGATAAACACTTGAAAGTAAATTTTACAATTTTCTCCTGACATATTTCTTAGAATATTCATTTTTAAATGTCAGTCATGCCTAATAACTTATATTTGTTTTCCTCAGGTATTGAAGAAATGGAAGATAAAATTAGAATTCTCTTTCTAAAGTGCAAAACTCATTTGCATGCATTACATAAAAATTAGTCATGCAAATTAGATGCATCAGAATAGCAATGAGTTCGTAGCTAGAAATTTTACAGGATAAAATTATAATGATAAAGGTTAATTTGAGAAAAGAAATCTCCAATGCCCTTAACATCGATAACTATTTAATAATGAAAATGCGACGGTGAGATATGGCTGTGAAAAATGAAGCGTACTTTGTAAACCATAACAAACTAAAGAATGACTAAATTACTTACAGGTAAATCAAAATAGCTGGAAGGATCTGCACGATGAAAGTTGTTAAAGTTACGAAGAGAGGAAATTTGTTTGACTAGTTACATTTACTGGAAACAATCAAGACATCAGTCGATTAAAGTGGTGAAGTCAAATAATCAATAACAACAATAACTGCTTTATTTGAAACAGTATTTTGGTACAAATATTGAATTTTCAGCATGTAGTACATTACTGCATCTAATTATCTTATTACAGTGGCAAAAATTAAAACAAGAGCATTCACACTGATTATATTGCTCATTATGAATATGAATATAAAATTAGATTAGGTGAAAATATTAACAGCATAATAATGAAAATAAAAGGAAAAAAGAGGGCAGTTTACTAAGTGTTACTAGGTGTAAGTCGGTGGTGGCCGTCATAGCACTTTTCTCATCACATAAAATATGTGCCACATTAGGTATTGTAGAGTTTTTATACTTAGTCATCCGAGCATATAGTCTTCTATAGTTGCTTCTAGTGATACCTGATGAGATTCAAGGAGAGAGTTGTGTATAGAGAGGATGCTCATGGTGTGACAGGATAATATTTGTTAATTCCTTGCAGGTGTCCATGTGTCTATCTACAAGAGTATTAACAAAATGGTTTAGCAATATCCCACTCGTCCTACCGACAGCTTTAGTACCCTTCACAGTATAACAAAGTGTTTCTTAAGTAGCCCAGGAAGGATTAAGTAGGAGCAATAAATAAGAACAGGGGGAATACAAGAATTAGCAAAATTTAAAAGTAGAGGCTGAATGATACCGAATTGTCTTAACTTCTTAGTGTAGAGCGTTAGACGAAATATCTTTCCAGAAACTAACATGACGTGGGAATACCACGAAAGATCAGAGGAAACATACAATCTAAGATCTTTGATATTCGATACACTTTCAACTTCTGTTCTATCTATGATAGTGGAACCATGAAAATGAACCAGTTCATGTTAGTCGCGATTGCATCTGAAAGCGAAATTAACAACCTGACATTTGGACGGAGAATTTATTTTAAGACCATTTGACAAGGACCAGAGACTGATTTCTAATGAAAATTTATTCATTTCGGAACACTCTGACTGAGAAGTAATAGTCATAGAAACAGGAAAGTCATCGGCATACTTAAAAAAATTGGTCTCGTCAAAATGAGGTAAGTCACGTAGGGAGAAAGAAAACAAAAAATGAGAAAGAACAGTTCCTTGAGAGAAACCAGCTAGAGTAAGTGAAGCGGTGGGGGAATTCCCATCGTAAACAATCTACTTTTTCCTATCAGAAAAGTGAGAATGCAACCACTTATTAATTCAGCAGCCTGCTTGTTTCTCAGCGAGCTTGTTTAACAAAAGACGCTTAAGTGAAGAGTCAAAGTCAGATGTGTAATCTAGGAGGCACACCAAAGATATTTAGCACCTCTGTCTAAATTGGCGAAAATATTATGATATAAGACAACAGTGGCACCTACTATGTTTATAAGCAAATTGATTAGGATCATTAAAAGTCTTCAATGAGGGTTCAAGGTTGAGTAAAAGCAATTTTTTAAAAAATAGATATGTCATGACAAATAATAAATATATTATCCTCTAAGCACATACCAATCAGATAAATTTTATTGATTACTGGGAAAGGAAACAGAGATTTGGCATTATTTGAATGCATTTTATTCATTTTTTTTTATCAAGAATGTAATCGCTTGTCTGTTCAAGTATCATTTCAATTGGGACACAGTTTTATTTTGACTGACACCAAAATATGTTAACTGTATCAGTTAAATTGATATTTTGGGCACAACACCTAGATAATTTCTCTTTAACATTATGAAAAATGCTCAGTTTCATAATCTGGTAGGTTTATGGTACCTTAATATCAGACACTTTGCATGCATATATATATATACCTGTGTTTGTCTTATAGATAACAATACATCCCTAAGGAGTCTGAGCAGTGCACATATTTTAACGAATGTTAATCAGAGATCAGTAAAAACTAGCAAAATTGGAGATTTTATTGATAACTGGGGTTCGTGTTGTTTAGTTCTACAAAGTGGACATTTATTCCGTTTGAATCCACCGCAATGGATTGTAGCACGTAAACCAACAGTTTACAGTGTCCATACAACTTCGAAACTACCTCCATCGTCTTCGGTAATTTTACAAATAGACAACAGTTTTAAAGACATATTGATTGGTATGAAGCTGACTACCTCACTAATGTCTTTATATCAGCGAAGAAAATTTAGACCTATCATATTAACTATAGACAGACTGCATAATCTTCCTGTGATAGCACACAAAAGTTATGAAGAAATGAGAGAAATTTGTGAACCAGTAAGATTGATAACCAAATTTTCAAATGTCTGGAATCATCAGTCACGAGAATATTTTCAAGACAAAGAAGTATACATGGATGAAGTACAAGTAAGTTTTTCAAACTCATGTTACTGTATATTTATGATAAAATATCATCTTAAGTATTGGATTAAAATTTCTAATTTGACCTAAAAAATAGATCTCGCCACCAGGCCATATCAGCTAGAGAAGTGTTGAAAACCAAGAGGAAGTGAAGGACTGTTTCATTCTCCTTTGAGATCATTCGATGGTATGAACTCAAGACCATGTGGATAACTTAGCCAAGGTTTTGAGGGAATTTCCTCTCATTTACACACAATGATTTGAATTTGGCAGTCGATGATTTCGAATTTTTAAATCCATCAATTAAAAATAGTTATTGTGTATGCAGTTTTTTCTAGTACTGGCATCGTTAATTATTATTTGTTTTCAACTGGAAAATGAATTAAAAGAAAGTAGTGGCTAGTGACAGTTGCATAAGAGGTGGCTGTCATGGCTCAGGTAGTCTTGCTGATAGCGTTTCGGTGCGTGAAACAATGGGTTCTGGGTTCAAGTCACAGTGGGAACATCATTACTCACTGAAGAATGCGCGTCCTGGATTCCAGTTCCAGTCACCATCCATGGAATTACTTCATATCAGAATATCAGTTGAAATTGTCAGCTAATGCTGGGGGAAACCAACTAAAACACATTCATAGATGAACAGACGCTATTAGGAAATTAAAAGTGTCAGTGATTAAATGAACTTTTACATCTTATTTCTGTATTAAATTCACATGTTACTTAAACTTGAAAGCTTCCTCTCATATTTTTAACATACGTTGTAGCGCAAGCTTTAGAAGCGGTAGCAAGTAAGTGACATTTGAAGATACACAGGCTTCGTTTTCTGCAAATATACAAACAGAGATTATTCTGACTTTAGCTGAAATATATACAATTTGCTGAAGAAATTAAGCTATTAAAGTTGAGCATGAAGTTGTCTGTTTGATGATGGTTATCAGAACGTGCTTTTTGTTTCATTTGGGGCTAGTTAGCTAGGTTTGCCTGCATCCGAAATGGTGACGACTTTCCCACTGACACCCAGACCTATCATAGGTATGTGCAAATGACAAGGCGTTATGCACTAGCCTACTGAGTCGTGAGAGTCTTCTCTTATACGACAGTTATGATTTAATATGATTTGTTTATACTTATTACATTTCACAGACATTTATAGACATATATGCCGCTTAAATTGATGCTTCAGTTTTGCTGTGTGCTTCACTTTCGATCCCAAAACCAATAAAATGCTCAACATGAATTTCACTGGTGGCCATCACCAAAAAGTAGCTTAATGTTAAAAATCAAGACGGTATCGAAGCATCTACTCAAGGTGCCCAAATGTCAAAATACAACTAATCATTTTAGTCCAGAAATATCATCGAAAATTCACAAGTATGACTGAATAATATCAGCATCTCGGTAGACTAAAAGCCACTGTGACAACTTGATTAAAATATCTAGCTAATCATGTGGTAATTTCTTACAGTTTGGGCTAGTGTCACCACTTGTTTTTTCTCATTTTAACAGTATGCTGACATAACTTTTAACGTAAGTTGTAGTTATGAATCTTTCTCTTATTGGCTAACAAATACATCATTTGGATTCGGAGTGTCAGCTGATTCACTTCTTTTGTGTTCATTTCTAGAGACGATTCAGACATAGGTAGACAGTTTTCAAAATTAAATCATCTAGTAGTCGTATTCAGAAGTCAGCTCCAAACTATGTCATATTCATAGATATGAGAATTTTAAATTATAGTGATACCTATAAGGTATTGATTTGATTATCAGATTGATTTCATCGCTGCACTTTAAACAAATGAACTTTTGTACTTTATTTTTTACCAACTTAAGTTCAACCATAGAATATTAGGTAAACACCAATATCTGTTTTTATTGTCATCATCATTACAAATTATTTATTATGTTTAGATTAATTGGATAAGTGACTTCATTTTTAAAGAAAGTAAGTGAACGTTGTCAAAAAAATCAGATGCAATATGGACACAAAGCGAACAGAATGTGTCTTTTTTACGGATGAAATATTCTGACGTTTCTTAGAGTTGATACTCAGCTAATAAATGAGACGTTTAGCTGCGAAAAAGCCTTTTGTATTCAGTAGGCTGGTAAGTAGTTGGTCATTTTGAAACTATTACTATTATTCTGATATTTTACAACACCCTAGACAATTGTCTACCATTTCAAACACGGTACAAAAACATTTTAAAAAAAACTATGAGAAAGAAAGCCAAAATGAGTGGATCACTGATGTCGGGAAAAGGAAAGAATATTTGTCCATTATTAAATGCATGGAGGATTTTATCATGAGCTGACATCAGTTAGAGGACCATTGGAAAGCCTTGGAGTACTGGACAGCTGTTTCGTCCTAGTTTGGAACTCTCCATCAGTACGCACCCACCGGGGTTCCAACCCAGGACCTTCTGGTTACAAAGCGAGCTCGTAGACCATTGAGCCACTGGGACCCGATCCAATGGTCCTTGAATTCTAACTTCTGCCAATTCACGACATAGCGCGACCATTTCGCAATGTCTTCTTCGATGAGTTACTGCCTCATCTTCAACCTGCTGTACTTTACTGGTCACGGCTTCCCACTAGAACCCTAGGTTAACTGCCTGAATAGGGCAAGTCGCTAGTGAGCATCAGATTAATTTTCAAGTCATCAATTTTCATGTCATCTCATGATGAAATCCTCTATGCAATCAAACAAAATCCCTACAAAACCAATACATGAACATTATTAAATGGTTTTACTTTTTACTAAATGCTTATTAATTATATTGTAGATGTTTCTAGGTTGGCCAGTGAAGTTCAATGAACAAAGGTTATTCAATAAGAACACAGTATCTTATTGTTTAAGTTAATATACCAAAATTAATACACAATAAAGTAAAAGGTAATGTAGCTGACAATGACAAATTAGTTGTCAAGAGTTCGGTTGTTTGAAAACTGTGGTGACCGACAATTTCTATTACTCCATTGTTTAAATACGTACTGTTGTTTGTTAATATTTATTATATGAATTACAAATAATTCTGCCAGATACAAATTTCTAAATTCATCCCTCTGTGTTGTTGGTTGGTTTCCTGTAATTCGGTCACTGCGAAATACTACTATTACAAATAATTATTACAAAAGCACTTTGGTCTGTCAGATTAAATTGCTCATTTCGATTTCCTTTGACAGTGGTTTAGTGTTCTTTACTCTTTGATGTGTTTCGGTGGTTCAATGTTAGAATCTTCGTGAACCATGTTGGAGGTTTGGGTTTGATTCTTAAGCCTACTAGGTGGTTGCAAGCCCTGAAAAGAGGATAGGTTGGACGTGAGTCTAGTAGACCATCCTCTAAAAATAACCCACCGCAATCGGAACTTCAAATCTTAAAGCCCTATGTTCCACTCGGAACTCAAAGGAATGAAATAAAAATTATCAACTATTAATTAACACTTCTTCATCAGTATTGAGAATGAAGCATAACTAATTCAACTTTGTGGACCCGTAATTAGGATGATTGGTGCTTAAAACCAACCCCGTTTTAAACGTCCTGATATAGTAAAACATCTACTAAAACTAGACCAAGTTCACAATGCAATGTTACTGGTGACCATATAAATCACAATTTTTATTTTCATTTATAAAATTCGCCTCAAAGCCAATCACTCATTAGCGCCAGGATTCATGAAATTGACTTGCTTCAACTATCTTATATATTTCATTAATTTTCTTACTTTGTTGTAATATTATAGCAATATTTTCTGTAAAATTTACTACAGGTAATTCTAACAAATAAAGTTGATTGCTCTCAACTGCGGGAACTGATTCAGACTACACCTATAATCATTGACTTATATGATCGAGGACGTAAACCAGCTAAAATGAACAAACCCAAAAGAAGCGATATAGGTGGTTTATTTTGTACTGAACCAAATGATGATAAAATCGGTGAAGTTCAACCAAATTTACGGACAAACACCTTTTCAGTAGAAGGTATAGATCAAAAAAATGATGAAACAAATGATGAATCAATAGCATTTCCAACTGGAAGAATCAACGTTGATTTGAGCGAAATGATCTGGCTGAAATGTGTCACCATGAAACAAAAATTACCGGTGTTACCAGTAAGTGAATCTGACCTAGACTTGCATAAGTGCAGTAAAGACATTAAGGGGAACCCCAGGCATATTTCGCGAGATTATATTGGTTACGTAGACTGGCAGTGTCACTTATCGATTGAAATAGAGATAAATATTAACTTAAACGAGTTACTTCAGATAAATTCTATACCTGGAAATGTGAAGACTTTTGAACGAATGGTTTTCATTCTGGAGAAAGCTGGAAGCAATAAACAAGGTAAAGTCGAATTTATTTTCTCTAATTAAATTGACTACTAATAAGTAGGCGAGTAATTATTTTGAAATTTAATTTTGTGTTACGTTTAGGGAAATACCTAGTGCCAAATCAGATACTCAACCACTCACGACATTCACAGGTCAGTACACATATTTCCCAAGCATCTTACTCACCTACCACAGAGGAAATGCAGTCAAATACCTCTCGAGTTAAGTAAGAAGGATATCTTCTTATTATCCGACATTAAAGGAATTAGGATAAACTTGAATGAAGCAACAAATGTAATTCCACACTACAATGCCTAAATTCTACTCTTACATCAACAGCGAATGTAGCAAGATAATTCGAGCCCATTTCCAATTATATTCAGTGGATTCTTCCAAAATGTTTACGACCTAAGCAGTTAACTAATTAAAATAAGTAAGGAATGATGCAGATAGTTACATTAAATGAAGTTATCAAGCATTAAAAAAACTAAATATTTGTAGAATAGTTAGCCAAATATTCTTCGAAAAAGTGGAGAGTTCAAAATTTTTACGGAAACAGGATTTAAATAGAGAATTTATGTCATTATAAGAGACTATGCACCTACAAAATGTCTTAAAATATTTAACTTGGCTTTAAATAGGTTGTTACTGGATTACTGATTTGTTGATGCACCAATAATGATCATAGATGCATTAGAATTCCTTCTTTTCTGCATCTGAATCTCTCACTTAGTAAGATTTTATCACTTAAAATGAAGTTTAATTTGGTTAAAACTTGTTTTCTCTTACTTGTTGCACGTTACAGATGTACAAATTTCTGAAGTAGTCAAAAATATCAAATCATTCGTTCTGAAATCCAATGCACATCACCTAGGGATATCAGATGACTTACCAGTGCACATAATACAAGCAAATATAAATTCTAGGCAGTCACAATATATTCCATGCATTCATTCACGGCCTTCAAGTTCAACATCTTTATATTCTACTAAAATAAATAGTGAACAGGATCATTATTTGATTGATCAGTTAGTAACAGGGTTTCATTTGATTGACGAAGACTTCGATTTAATTGTCCTTGAAACAGCTGACAGCAATATAAGTAAGAATTTAGAGGAATTATTTAATAAGAGTTTGGATACATTCAGTAGCAATTCAGTGTTTCAGTCTACTGAAGAAAAAAATTGTGTAAAGTGTTTGAAAAACAGTGGTTTGTTATTTACAGAACGTTTATATGCACCACTGAACTGGTGTCTGCAAGAAAATATTATGGCAGTTCCAATGAGACAAATAACTGGAAATTCAATACTGCATATAAGGGATCTGCTACCCCGTTTAGCCTATTGCGCCATCAATCGAATTACAAGTTTAAGACTACACTGTCAAACTTTGTCAAGTAGTTTTCGAGCAAATTTATTCCCAACCTGTGAAATGATGAAAGCATTATTCAAAGAGTTTTGTGTATCATCACTTTTAACTAATTTGAAATCATCTCCAAGGAGTTTATCTGTCAAATCAATGCAATCATCTCTGACAAAAATCGATACTGATCAAGTTAGCCAGTATAATTCCACCAATAAGAATGAAGGTAATATTCTAACGAAGGATTTAAGCAAAAATAAAAGAAGGTACTTGTCAAAAAGCTGTTCAACAATCGGTAGATCTTCAAAAAGACCACTTTTAAAAGACAGAAGTTTTTACAATTCGCTTATATTTGATGAGCACTACAACGACAACAAAAATATCATTTATAATTACAGTATTCAATTTCTTAATTCGTCGGTAATTTCAAAAAATGAACTATATCATGAAATTCTATCTAAGAAAGAAAAAGTACGCTTATTGTAATGATTATTTGCATTCAGGAAGCTTCGAAGTAACCCAAGAAGATTGTTATAACAATAAAGCAATCAACAGAAAATTAGCTATGAGCGCTAAATCCTTTTTCAAATCAAGTTCACGAAATAGTTCCAAGTGCAGAAAAGTGAGAAGGTGGAATAAATCAACAAATCTGTTGTGCGAAAATTCACCATACATCTCATTCAAAGCAAAACTTTGTCGAGACATCAATGAGAGCCAAAAATCTGTTTGAAAAAAATATTATGATTATTTTCACTTTCACTGTTGTTGATGTCTGTATTTTTAATATATTGTATGCTTAATATTTCAAGTAATTTGAATACGATATGTACTAAAATCATTCAGCTTTAAATTGTGGACAGTCTGTAGTGGTCATTATTTAAGCATAAACATATAGTATATATTTTATGGAGCCGTTTAATGGTTACGTCAAAAGTCTTGTATATAAAAAACAAAAGCACAAAGAATAACATATGTGTAAGACTTGGACATTGTGGTAGTAAGTAATTCCATATTAGTCTGTTTATTAGATGTATCACACAGTGAAACAGTATTATTTACTGAATGACAAAGTTTCAAACAAAATTTATTGTTCATAATCATTTCATCAATTATAATCACACGACTTCGAAACTTGAGTTTTATAGTCTTCTTTGTTCCCTCCTATTTGTCATAGGGGTAATAGAATTTTCCATATATCTGGGACAGGTGTTGAATCATTCCCACTTACACGTATTTGCAGTTAATTCGATAAACAAAGCTTCTGTTATCAATCTCAGCCTCAACCCTGTGACATCGGATTTTAAAACTGCCATCCTATCTCATCCTATTGTATGGTTGTGTGTAATTGCATGTAGTGATTGGTATAGCTCAACTATTCTCTAGATTTCTTATCTTATTCAA